AAAAGGCCTCCTTGGCACTAGATATAGCAGATGTAATATAGATGACATATTACTATATATTCTTCTTTACTTTCTTTCATAATGTTCTAGACTTTCCTTATAATAAGACATATCTTTCTTTTTCATCTATTTTTAACTTGACATTGTTTCTGTTTATACATGTTTTATTGATGTTTTTCCAATACTAGATGTGTATGAAAATTGTGGTATAAAACTGAATGATAACCAGCAAGTGTAAAATCAAAATAATATTTGCTGCTGCACTGTAAGACAAAAAATTCAAAATTTCAGTCTTTAACTTATCTTACCTGAAGAAAACTTTTCTTCTGGTATATTAACATCTAGATGATCCTAAAGTTTTTCTTCACTCATTGATTTGGTTTCCAATTGTAATGTCCGACTGTGAATCACAAATTCTGAATAAATAAAATATACAATTATCTTACTATAACGGATGTAGTAGTAGTAGCAGCATGTATGTCAGTATCTATGTATGTAACCAAAACTCCTGCACCATATATAGAATGGCTCCACAAACAAAAATCCATAAAAACTTTCACACTTTGGGTATTCAAGAATCAGACATTTAGAAAAATAACTGTGGTATGTGCAACAACCATTTCTTTATAATAGAGTAAAACTTTAAATAAAAGTACTCTCCCCACAACAAGAACATGACTTTCACCAGGACTGTACATGAGGGTTTGATTTTTATCTTTATTGATGTAATTTTTAAATGTAGCACAGAGAAACTGGAGTTCTTAAAAAACTATTATCTTTTCAATAAATGGTACCACTTTTAGTATATAATAACACTACAGTTTATATCAGTAAAATGTATGAAAAGAGCATAATCCAAACACTTTTCCATGCAATACTTCTCAGAAAAAAACAAATTCTTTTAGAAAATGTTCATTTTTTTCAATCAGGTATGAATACTACAATTAGTAATCACTAGTACAAACAGCCAGCCATAGGGTGTCATTTCTACCAGAAGAACAAATGCTTGATAATATAAAATGTGTTTAATGATCCAAAAAACCAAACAAAACTGCCGATTTCCATTTCATCGGCATGGAAAGAACACATTTTTAAGTATTGAAATGACTTTCTAACAGTTAGTAGTCATTTGCTTTTCTGTGTTTATCTCTTATTTATCTTTTCTGCATGAATATCATTGGTCGATATGCAAACTCCCAAAAGTATAAACACTTTCAATCTCCAATTTTCACAAATATTTTATAGACAACAATTAGTATGAAATATCCATCTATTTTGTTTGCTTTAGTAATACAAATTGATTTTATTTAATCTGAAAAACACCATTTTTATTCCTCTTTGATGCAACACTCAAATTTATTGAACCTCTAAAAATATGTAACCATTTATTTTAAAAACTGTCATAAAAATTTCAACATCTAGATAAATAAGAGATTTGTCGAATTAATTTCCAGTTGTCACCTCTAGTTTTGAATCAAAGTTTCTGTATAAACAAACTGTAATATGAACATTAAATTTTGTTTTATAACTGAATCATCAATTCCAGTATAAATTAAGAGCTAGTATAATAGTAGTATGCAGCTTATGGGGCCCTAATCAAACCAGTAGCCAATTTTTGGAGGTTTGAGGACGTCACACTGCTCAGATACCTTCACTAGCTTTAACTGAGGTGAAGAGCCCATAGAGACCTGTATACTCCTGAAGTAAGTCCTTGACCTTAGAAAGAGACTTTTGTGACTGGATGCATTGCTTTGTACTCTGTTAAAAACAAAATACATAGAATGAAGAGATAACTTATAAAAATGGCATGTATAATAGTTGAATAAGTAATATATAGCACTTGGTTAAACTATTGGTAATAATTACCATATTTTTCGGTGTA